TCAAGATTCGAACCACCACCAAATAACCCATAAATAAGTAACAAGCACAACTCCATCAATACCTTATTAGTGATTATCTGTTAAATTATTAGATGAAAATTTATAAAACCTTTTAAAATTATAAAATTTTGATTTCATCTGATTTTAAAATTTTATTATTTTGAGTTATATGAAATCTCGATTTTAATTTTGGATTTTATATGAATAACATATGCAAGATTTTATGATTTTATTCGTGATTTTGGCAATTATTGATTTGACAGATTAACTTGTCGTGGACGGCTTGTATTCCTCCACGTGAGTTATATGAAATCTCGATTTTAATTTTGATTTTATATGAATAGCGTAAGGACAGGTACAATATGCCCAATTTACGACGTACAGCACTAATTTTTTTATAATCAGAGTGAAAGATAAATCAATAATTTCCTGCTCAAACAAATGCACGACAGCGATAATAGATATATTCACACTTGATTTCTTATGATAAGTTGCACAACAGTTATGATAGATATCTTTATATTTGAATATCTCTCAATTTTTTGATCTTAAAATAATCGTATGAAGAAATACGTTAGACTCTCATTATCTTACTTGATATGTCATGTGGATTTTTCACTGAAGTCTATAAATATCCTCAGGAACTATATTAAAAGGATAATTAAAACCAACCCTAAACTTTTTTTATTTACCCTCTAAAGATAGTCTCAATTATTATTGATTTAAATATAAAAGTGTCTATCCAAATTCAACATTGCAGATAAATCTAAAATACATATACGGACTAAAAAAATTTTTTGATTTGGTACAATCACACATACGTAAAATTTTTTGGTTTTATTCATGATTTTGACAATTATTGATTTGACGGATTAAGTTGTCGTGAACGGCTCGTATTCCTCTATGTGACTCATGCTTCAGATTGTTAACTTGACGTATCCAACCTCTTCTTCCTTTCATATTTTTCTCATGACTCTTGTTTTAAATGCTCGCGAAAAAAAAAAAAAAAACAACTTACTTCAACAATTTTTACTTTTTTTTTTTGATACATAACAATTTTTACTTTTTGTATAGCAGCT